TTAAAAACAATGCCGTTAGAACAGTATAATACAAAGAAAAGTTATATATTGTGCCCCCCCCCCACGAAAATGTAAGGTTCCCCCAGTGCCACCTCCCGCTGAAAAAATCCTAGCTACGACACTGCATACTTAGCATATGCGATCATGATATAGCTATTATATATTCACATATCATCATCACATTCATCACAGAATATAACTACTCTGGTGAGATTTTGCTCATGCACTAACACAGTAAAGTAGCTGGTTTGTTTACTAACGGGTATCTGCAGCTGGCACCTTACATGCGAGGCCTTATTCCTATTTCTCAGAAGAGGTATAGGCCTACTTGTGAAATATTATCATATAAATCTATGCTAGAATACCTCTTCCCTATTCTAAATGCATAATGTTTGCAAAATATTCTTCTTCTCGGGAGATATTTTGCATGCGCGAGCACCGTTTCAGGCGTGCATTATGATAATGGACTGAGGAACACTGCATAGGGCCTAATATAGCTTGCTAAGAGAGAAAGAGGGTTGGGAGACTGAGGAAAGGCGGCAGAGAAGAAAGCTGAGGGCGGCAAAAAGAATGAGGCTGAGCGAGGGACAGTGGGGGAGGCATGGGGGACAGGAGGGGATGAATTAGTAGTTTTGCTCCCCACAGGCTAGGGCGCTCCCCCAATCATAAACCAGGGGCGTGTACAGGGGGGGTCCAGGGGGTCCGGACTCCCTCCTGCTCGCGCAGAAAACGCATCTAAGGGGGTCTAATTTCAAAAAAATTCGGGGGGAGGGCCCCCCAGACCCTCCCTTCGCATGCTCGCAAGTTTGGGTTACGGTTAGACCCACCCCTGGTACAAATCCTGTACACGCCCCCGTAAACACAGGTCTACTGATAACAATTTATTTCATAAATCTATGCTGAGATATCCCCTAACCATTTTAAATGCACATCCATCACAAAATATAACTCCTTTGGTGAGATAGTGCGCATGCGTTAACACACTATAACGTACCGTCAAATTGTGTACTGACTGGTTTATGTAGCGGGCACCTTACATGCGAGAACTTCTTCCTATTTTTCAAGAGAGGTATACTGATAAAATATTATTATATAAATCTATGCTAGACTACCTCCTCCCTATTCTAAATGCATAATTTTTGCAAAATATTCTTCTTCTCGGGAGATATTGCGCATGCGCGAGCACCGTTTCAGACGTGCAGTATGGACTGAAGAACACTGCATAATCTAGCTTGCTATGAGAGAAAGAGGGTTGGGAGACTAAGGAAAGGCGGCAGGGAAGAAAGCTGATAGCGGTAAAAAAGAATGAGGCTGAGCGAGGGACAGTGGGGGAGGCAAGGGAAGAACAGGAGGGGATGAATTAGTAGTTTTGCTTCCCACATGCTAGGGCGCTCTGCCAATCATAAACACAGGTGTACTGATAACAATTTATTTCATAAATCTATGCTGAGATATCCCCTAACCAGTTTAAATGCATATCCATCACAAAATATAACTCACCTGGTGAGATATTGCGCATGCGCTAACACACTAACGTAGCCAAATTGTGTACTGACTGGTTTATGCAGCGGGCACCTCACATGCGAGAACTTCTTCATATTTCTCAAGAGAAGTATACTGATGAAATATTATCATATAAATTTATGCTAGAATATCTCCTCCCTATTCTAAATGCATAATATAGCTTGCTGAGTGAGAGAGGGGTGGGAGACTGAGGACAGACGGCAGGAAAGATAGCTGAGGGCGGTAGACGAAGAAAGAGTCTATACGAAGGGCAAGAAAGGCAGTGGGAAAACGGAAGGGATGAAGTTAGAGTTTTGCACCCTGCAGGCTAGGGCGCTCTCCGAATTATAAACACAGGTCTACATATAAAAATTCATTTCAGAAATCTATGCTGAGATACCCCCTAACCATATTAAATGCATATTTATTAGGAAATACAACTCCTGTCGTGAGATATTGCGCATGCGCTAACATCACTAACATAGCCAAATTGTGTACTGACTGGTAGGGCCTATATGCAGCGGGGAACTTACATGCAAGGTCTTCGTGATATTTCATAAGGTGAGGTCTACGGATCGTATGTTATTATATAAATCTGTGCTAGGATACCTGCTCTTCATTTTAATTGCATTGTTTTTTGCAAATTAGCATTCTTCTCATGAGATATTGCGCATGCGCGAGCACCGTTTTCGGCGCTCAGAACAGACTGAAGCAAATTGCATACTAGACAGAGGGCACTCAAAGAGAGTGCATACCTCCGCGAGCGTGTAACATGTATACATGTGTATAACATCTGGCTCGCTGCTGGCTGCTGCTGACTGGACGCCCTAAGGCGAGCTGCTGCTGACTAGACGAACTAAAGCGAGCTGCTGCTGACTGGACGCCCTAAGGCGAGCTGCTGCTGACTGGACGCCTTAAGGCGAGCTGGTGCTGAATCGATCGCGCCAACGCATGTAACATGTATACATGTGTGTAACAGCTGGCTCGCTGCTGGCTACACACACACGATGACACACACGAACACACACACGAGAGCGATTACATTACCTCCCTGCAACTCCGTTGCGTGGAGGTAAATATAGCTTGCTGAGTGAGAGAGGGGTGGGAGACTGAGGACAGACGGCAGGGAAGATAGCTGAGGGCGGTAGATGAAGAAAGAGTCTATGCGAGGGGCAAGAAAGGCAGTGGGAAAACGGGAGGGGATGAAGTAAGAGTTTTGCCCCCTGCAGGCTAGCGCGATCTCCAAATTATAAACACATGTCTACATATAAAAATTCATTTCAGAAATCTATGCTGAGATACCCCTAACTATATTAAATGCATATTCATTAGGAAATATAACTCCTGTGGTGAGATATTGCGCATGCGCTAACACACTAACATAGCTATGCATAGCCAGATTGTGTACTGACTGGTATAGGGCCTATATATGCAGCGGGGACCTTACATGCAATATCTTCGACCTATTTCATAAGTGAGGTCTACGGATCGTATGTTATTATATAAATCTGTGCTAGGATACCTGCTCTTCATTTTAATTGCATTAGTTTTGCAAATTAGCATTCTTCTCATGAGATATTGCGCATGCGCGAGCACCGTTTCAGGCGCTCAGAAGCAAATTGCATAATATAGCTTGCTGAGTGAGAGAGGGGTGGGAGACTGAGGACAGACGGCAGGGAAGATAGCTGAGGGCGGTAGACGAAGAAGGAGTCTATGCGAGGGGCAAGAAAGGCAATAGGAAAACGGGAGGAGATGAAGAAAGAGTTTTGCACCCTGCAGACTAGGGCGCTCTCCGAATTATAAACACAGGTCTACATATAAAAATTCATTTCAGAAATCTATGCTGAGATATCCCCTAACCATATTAAATGCATATCCATCACAAAATATAACTCCTGTGGTGAGATAACACACTAATGATGGAAGATTCTGTACTGACTGCCTGGTATATATATATACAGCGGGGAACTTACATGAAAGGTCTACTTTCTATTTCTCAAGTGAGGTATACTGATCAAACTTTATCAACTAAATCTATGCTAGGATAACCCCTCTTCACTTTGAATGTATAATTTTCGTTAAATATTCTTCTTCTCGGGAGATATCGCGCATGCGCGAGCACCGTTTCAGGCGTGCAATACGGACTGAAGCAAATTGCTTAAGACAGCTTGCTGAAGATGAAAGGGGTGGGGGCTGAGGAAAGACGACAGGAAAGATAGCTTATTGACGTTAGAAGAAAAAGGAGGCTGAGCGAGGGATAAGGGAGCCCAAGGAAAGGGCGGCAGGTGATGAAATAGGAGTTTACCACCCTACAGGCTAGGGCATTCTACTAATTATAAACACAGGTTTACGGATAAGAATTAATTACAGAAATCTATGCTGAGAATGCACTCTTTTCTGAGTATCGTTTCTGAGTCAGATCAGGGAATTGTGCAATACATTAATTTGCTGGCAGGGCTCTTCATTTTATAGCCTGATAGCCTGAAGAGAGATATTCTCGATTCTATTTTTCTACATTTATTTTCGTATCTACATGGGTGTCCGTGTGTTTTTTCTTCTAATTAATTCGTCCATCGATCGATCGACCCATCCATCCATCCATTCGTCCATTCGTCCGTCCATCCATCCATCCATCCATCCATCCATCCATCCATCCATCCATCCATCCATCCAT